GTACCGTCCTCTATTCTTTCATATTACTTGAAAGGCAGAATAAACTCTTAGACTTTTTCCGCCATCTCATAGGTTACGATTTATATGATTTAGGATTCCATCAAAAAGTAACTTTACTTTGATAGTTTCACAGTGTTATTACACACTCTGTAACATTGTGAGATTTTATGAAAATAATTTCTTCTATAATTGAAAACATTTATTTCCCGATACGAATTTAAAACAAGCAAAATAGGTTGTTAATAAAGCAGGATTTAATGAGGGATTCATCAAATTTCGGTAGAACTCTTCCTCAGCTGAACACTCGACATACACGGATATATATATATATACATGCTACTTGAATTACATTGGGAGATATAAGACTGATGAGAAAATAAACTACATTGAATTAATCATGCAAAACGACACATGTGTGAATGTCTTTCGAGGTAATGTTCGAATAGATAAGCAGAGTGGGAGTATGAGAGATTGAAATTAAGATAAAATGCATTATGGTTCGATTACATCACTTAGATAAACAATTAGTCATCAGAGAATATATCAAGAATTGAGGAGTAATATTAATAGTAATAATTAAAATAATAATGCTGAAGTGAGTTAAGATAATGCTACTGATGAAAGATATTTTTAAATGAAACAGGAATAATAATAATAATAATAATTAGAGGTAGAATAATAAGTCAAACGTATTACCATGGTAGATTCAGAGTGACGACCATCTCCTTTTGTACACAGAGACCTGGTTTATAAACTCAAATTGCACAAGCCTTTGCAATTACAAGCATCTTCCTGTTTCTTTGACTGCTGACTGACAACAGTGAATGACATGACAGCGTCGATATCATGTCCATAGTTCACAAGATGTTATGTTATTGAGGTCTTTGGCACTTTGCACTCAGCTGTCTTCAGCCATTTTGGCGAATGCTCCATCATGCGAGTAGACAATCGCCTTTCTGCATAACCCATGTATTTGCTTCCTCCAACAAACACACTCAAATTGATATACGCAGTTTGAAGTGTTAAGGATTGGCGACTGGTCTTTCCCTGATTGTTGAAGCACTCGCTTACTGCTGTTAAGGAAGACGAGTTTTGCAGCATAATAAGTTCTCTTGATAGCTTTATTGAGTCTTCGTTTGACTACTTCCTGTACATTATCTCCTTTGAATGGCAAACTGATATAGACAGATTTCTCCGGAACCGTTTGGATAGTTTTGCAGGGGATAATTTCTTTAGAGTATTTATTGATGAAATTCTCAGGATATCCATTCTTAGTTAAAATCTCCTTCAGAGCTTTTATTCTATGCTCAATAGTACTGTCAGAACAAATTTTCCGTGCTCTATTGAACAGTGTTTTGACTAAGTTCATTTTATACTGGATTGCAACAAAGCTCTTGAAATGCATATCCTGTCCTGTCCATGAAAACTTTTACTATATATAGAACTTTCTATTGTATCATCAGTCATTTTCGCTAGAAAAACGTCTAGGAATTTAATATTATCGTTTTCCTCGTGTTCTATTTTGAAAATGAGATTAGGATGGCATGAGTTGAATTTTATCAACATGTCTTCAGCTTTTGATCTGCTTCCACAGACAATAAAAATGTCATCAACATATCTTGCGTATACATCTGTTTCTTGTATATGTTGCTTCAAGGTACCGGCTTCTAGGCCTGACAAGAATAAGTCTGCAAAATGTGGTCCCAAGAGGCTTCCCATTACGACACCATCAACTTGACGGAATAGACGCGCGTCGAATTGGAATTGGACATTCTATAATTGAATTATACTCTGTAACAGTGGTCAAATTCTGTTTTTTACATTTTGACTTATAACTTTGGAAAAGAGCATTGGTTCATTTTGATGATATGATGCAGCCTGATGAAGAAGAAGATAGAAACATTCCACTTTAGCATTTACCTCTTTAATCACTCGATTAAGGAATTCACATGAAGAATTCCTCCTGATTAATTTTTGTTAATTAGGATACACAAAACTGTAGTGAGCAAATCCATTCGGTTAGGGTGTGAATGCAAAGAACCAATCTCTACCTTCTATTGTAAAGACTGTTGTAATACTGCGTTATCGCGAGACATCCAAACGCAGGGAAAGGAAGATTAGTTAGTCTTCAATATTCTTTTATCACTTCTATTAAACAACAATGATAATAACATCAAAACTGAAATTTACCTCAACAGTGTTGTAAGGCAAATGGATTGGATATACAGGGAATGCAGGTTTCTAAATACAAGACATGTAGTGTAAGACAATATTATTTAACAAAAGTTCAAGTGAGCACAATGAAACTAAAATTGAACGAGAGTTGAGTTAATAACGGCGACAACAAGGGGTGGAAATTTAACAGGGTGTGAGGGAAGAAAATAATACCAATTAAGGAACAAAAAACAAACATTAAGTGTCCAGTGTTAAGACAGATTAGGTCCAGTGTAGATTTGGTGACTCGACAAACTTCTTTTGTATTCAGAGTGCAAGATTTAACATGTGAATCACCATTGCTGTTGCGGTTTGAAAAAGTTTGATTTGTACTCTTTTAGCAAGAAGCCAACGTATTCTGTTCATGACTCTGAAGTTACTTTACCAGTTTGCTTGGTGATCCGATTCGATCAGGTGTTCCAGAATATAGCTTCGAGGGTACCCTTTTCTCCCTTTTGAAACGGCGAGGGTAAGTGTTTGATGATACGTTTGGATAGGAAACGTTGGGTATGGCCGACATACCCAAGTGAATTGTGGATACACACCAATGAGGCCAACAGTGGTAGCTTATCCTTCAAGTTCATGCGAATCATTGGTTTCGTAGAGAAGATTATTCAGATTTCAGCAGATTAGTTGCTTGTCTCACAAATCTAGTGACTCTACAGACAGGTCAGATTCTAGGCTGACTAATCCCTGTGTAATGAAAAAGAAGCTAGACGAAATTCAATTAGAAAAAAGATGAAAAATGATTAGCTCTGACATAACCAGTTTGCATACTAATATTTCAATTGATACAGTTCTGGAGGCAGTCAAGGATGTAATGAATATTGATTCTGAGCTCAAAAGTAGAACTAAGCTCTTGGATGATGAAATAATATGAAGTGTTCAGTTATGTCTAACCTTCACTGTGTTCAAATTTCAAATTAAACTATGTGAAGAAACGAATGGGTTGGCAATGGGATCACCAATATCCCCGATAGTGGAAGACATATTTATGGATAGTTGGAAATATAAGGCTCTTACAAGGTTTAATCCTGCTCCAAGTAGGTTATGGTGAAGATATGTGGATGATAAATTCACTATTGTGTTGAAATCTGAACATGTCCCTCAGCTTTTCGCACATATAAACTCAGTAGTAGTCGGAATCCAATTCACTTCTGAGTTAGAAAATGAACAGAGTGAGTTGGCCATACTAGACTGTAGAATAAAACGAAAACCAGATGGTGGGTTAGATAAAAGGCTTTTATAGGAAACCAATACACCCTAACAAAGTACTCAGAATAGACTTTAATTCACCCCATCCAGAATCGGTGAAGGAAGACAGATTTAGTTAAATGTCTGTGTAACTGGGCCAGGAGCCTAGTTAGTAGGCCAGAAGACTTAAACAATGAAATCAAACTAATCAAGAAAATATTACCAGTGAATAAATAACCCACCAGAATTCATTCAGAAATATATAAAAGACCATAGAGAAAGAATAAGATTAGCAACAGGAATGACAAAAATGACAAAAGTCACATAGAATTCAAAGCTTCTGCAGTACAGCCGTATGAAGAAGGAACGTTACAGGTCTTACGTGGGATTCTGAATGAGGCTGGGATTTGGGTGGCATTTGAACCAACGAATCAACCAACCAACCAACTCTCTCAGAGATAAACTTTGTAGGCATAAGGACTCAACAGATCCAATTAGAAAGAATAATATAACTTACGAAATACCATGTAATGACTGTTAGTGAGGTCAATTACATAGGTCAGCCAAACTGGTAGATCTAGGTCAGTTTGATTATCGGAACCCAAAAAATTTACCTAGACCTAGAATGGTTGACCGTGCTAAGTTAAATAACCTAGAAAGAATAGAGCTCAGCCATTGCAATGCATTGCACTCACTTGCATGTAATCGCAAAATAGGATGGGACAAGGTGAGAGTATTGAAAAGTAATCTAGTTAGGTGGTGAGGGAGGTTAATCACTGAGTGGGTCTTTGTTTATCGATTCAACACCGAACACTTGCAATCGGATTGGTGAAGAGCATATACCAGAGGTATGGAAAGTGGCAACAAACCACAAGGGGAATTCGGAGAGAGCGGGGAGGTGGAGGAGTAGGGAAAATATATAAGACTTCACATTGAAGTATGCGCTGAAGATGTTGCTCAGTAGAGCAATGAAAGCTTCGCAACCAAACCATCCAGCTCAGAGAACACAACCACACCAAAAAAAATATAAGACAAACTGTATGACTAAACTGTTACGATTATGACTGGCAATGATTTATGCTCGAAAGCTTGTCTGTCATCCAGTTATTAATACTACATCATCACTGAGTGATATTTGAAATAAACTTATCCAATATTGAGGAATTACATTCTACCACAGTGCCCAAATTCTATACTTACATTAACTCTGCAGTTAACTTAGCGAGTTACATTCACTCCATTTATTTCACAATTTTGAACATTTCCTTGATGATTTCTGCAAAGTTTCTCACTGCAAGTGAGTGAGATAAAGAAATCTGTATAAACTGCAGCCTGTATTCATGAAGTCAAATGGATGAGGTAATGTCGAAACCACGAAAAGCCTGTGACTCTAGTTCATTAGATGTCTGAGTACATCCATTCTCGATGTGTCTCACACTCACAGTCACGTGATCATCAAAATATAATAGTGGATACTGACTGCACAACTCTTTTCAATTGCCATTCCCTACCCTTTTATTATTGTTGGAGTTGGCCAATCAGATTACGTAGGTAAACAAACACACGCGCGTACATTTAAACTTAAAGGTGCGATTAAGGCGAACTTGTTAATAGCTCTCATCATATATCTGCTTAGACTGTCAGCATGATTGAGTGCATATTGTTAACGCTTATATGCTTGATAATTCCTCATTCTCAAGCTTTGATACCCATCCCAAAGAATTATAGTCCAGAAGAGAAATATTGTAGAATTTATAAGTCTGTACCTATTGTGGATAATTATCGGTCATGTATAACATTGAAAGAAGCTGTTAAACGATTCCGGAAACGACTTGTTCATGAAGAATTTCCACCGTCAACAGCACCAGTTGATAAATGTTTTATACATTCCATAGAGCTGGTAATCACTTCAGGCTGTGATGAAAGTAATGAAGTGCTACGGCCATCTAATTCAGCCAAAGAATCATGTAAGCGATTGCCTTTATTACACACATAAAATATGATGCTTTGAAAGATTCCATTTCATTTCAGCAACAAAAGCTGATTATCACTTCTTCTGAAGTCTGGGGAATTATACATGGATTAGAAACAGTGTTGCAACATATATACAAAGATGAATGGAAAGGAGTAGGAAGAGAAAACATTAAAATATTCTTACACAATGTTTATTTCATAACTAGAGAAATATACAAATATTCACATTGGATGATTCACCTCGATTCTCACATCGTGGACTCATGCTAGACACATCGAAACATTTCCTCACCATCGGAGAAATCCACAAGTTCATTGTAAGTCATCATTCACCTCCCTCCACTCGAGGGAGACGTGAAACACTAACACAATCACACACTGACACAGGCACATTTTAGGATGCAATGGCCATGGTGAAAATGAATGTTCTACACTGGCATATCACAGACACTGAATCATTCCCATTCGTCTCCTCCATGTATCCTGAACTGTCAAACAAGGTAAGACTGATGAATTATTCTCTTTCTAACTTGAATCACATCACAACTCAAGGGTGCATATCATCCTGAGGCCTATGTGTATCAGCGTAATGAGATAGTTGATCTACTGGAGTATGGGCGTCTTCGTGGAATTCGAATAATTCCGGAGTTCGATACACCAGGTGAGCATGATATTCTCACAGTTGTATGTATTGAGATATTCAACTAGTTTGAAATTGTCTGTGTTGCCACAGACTAGTGAACACCCTGATATTTGTCAATCGTGAATAAGTAGAAATTACTGTGATGGGTGATTTCGCCCACCCCAGTGATTTACAAACTTTGAAGTACTCAAGACCAGTATTATAACAATGAACAAACTATACATACAAGGATAGTCGGAATTCAGCCAGCCATTCGGCGTATTTGAAGGTCTTTGAATATTTCCATTGCTGAGAATTATTTGTAGTATATGTAGAATTATCGAATCAATGACTTTAGGAATTAGCAGTACTCAAACAAAGCTGAATTGTTTTTGTCTGGCTGAGAATGACCTCCAGCTGAGAAAAGAGTATTACGTCTACCTGCTGGATGTCTGATGTAACTGATCATTCAAAGCTGTACTGTAGCATGCAAAATAACTACACGCCAATGTATATAATGAATTCAGAAGGGTGATTCGTATGTACCAACAATTTTGACAAATTTTCATTTGTATTCAGATGACTTTATAAAATGTCACTGAGCTGGATTTTCTTTTTCCTTCAAGTTCCCCAATGGAACATAGAGCTTCAAGCTAGTTGTCTTGAAGTTTCTTTAACAGTGTTTATTTTACAGGATAGGGTTGCTAGTTTCGTGCCCAACCTTTCCTCTTTATCAGAATTATTTCTGGTTCAGTGAGGTAAAGGAGTGCGTCGGCCGGGATTACCGAAATATAACCACCAACCAACCAGATAACTACTATTAACACCGAATGTACTCAGCATTGATCGCTTCCTCTGAGAAATCAACGCAAAACTCTGGTTTGAATATGTGTGGAAACGTGAGGAAAATTATCACGATTCCAGACAGATTCAATGTCACCACTATGTAGCGAGAGTTACAGACATTCACTACACACGTGATATACACCAGACACCTATCATCAGTGAGATCAAGCAATGCCTCTCAAACAATATACTGACTATGCAGACCACTTATTCGTCATTATTCATAAGTAGACATAACAGAACGCATCACTCAAGATTACACCACAGTATATCCCAATATCCCAATACTCAGTCACATTCCATACTCCATCTCCCTCTCTCTCTCTCTCATCTCACAGCACATACACGGTCATGGGGAAATGGCTATCCCGAAATACTCACTCCTTGTCATACTCAAGACGACGAAGGAAATCAAATACTCGGTCCTGTCAATCCAACCAATCTCACCTTCATTTACAATTTCTACCACGAAATTCACCGTGTGTTTTCTGCTGACAACCACGTTCATTTAGGCGGAAATGATGTGGATTTCACATGCTGGTGAGTTCTCACTAATATTATTATCATCCTGCACCGCTTGATTGATTGATTGATTGACAGGTTGATTGATTGATTGATTCAATCAATGCATTTCTCACATAATTCTCACAATGTGCTCAATGACAATCTCACCATACAAATGCATGTAGTATGGATGCTAGTGCAGTGTGATCAGGTTAATATGAGAAAGATGCATTGTATATGTCATTCAGTGTAATGGTATATATATATAGACGCTGGAGGATAGGCATGTTTCTACGAATCGATATATGGGCTAAAGTTAGCGGTCAAGCGAGGTGAGCACATGAGACAAGCAAAGTGAATTGGTGTGATTTGATTCCACTGGATCCATTCCACTTAAATCTGCATATTCGTCTATCCCATCGAAATAAAATCTTACTTCCTCATTCCATTCTCGTTTTACAGGCAGTCCAATCCTGACATCACAAAATTCATGCAGGAAGAAGGATTCAACAATGACTATACAAAGTTGATGAACTACTACATGATACAACTTGTAGAAATTGTCAGGGCCGCATCGTTGGGATCTCCAGTGGTTCCAATTGCTTGGCAGGATGTATATCAGGATGGATTTCGTGTAAGTCAACACTGATAGTCGATAATGTAACACTCAGCTTGTATACACTACCTAAGTCGGTTGAGTCATGAGCTGGACTAATTCTCTCACTCTGACCGATATGAGCAATATAATGACAACTGTGAATAAGTCGGTTAGCTGTGGTCGTGTCTCTATTCTCACCTACACATTAAGTCGTCTACACTGATACTCCATCACAGAGTATTCGAATTCTGAGTTGAGTGACTAGTCGCGGAAGCATTACATAGATGCATACATCTCGATCAACTGTCAATAGGCTCAAACAGGGAGATGTCGTCTCCCGACAGTCTCACTAATCAAATCTCGAGCAAATGACAAACCGCTTGTTGAAAAAACTTAATAAGCGCGCACGTGGGTAGAGTGCAATCACACAAGAGAATAGAAAATAATTAGGCCTAATACACAATGATCGATGCAGTATGATGATTTGTTCAACCGAGTTGTTTCTAGAAAAGTCAAGTGCTGATTGATAATCACCAAATGAGAAGTATTCATTAGACTGAACTTACTCACATATTTCGCTAATCATATGAAAGACATAGGTTACAAACCAAGGTGACTGCAAAATACTAATAATGACTTAGTATTATATCGCTGGAGAGAGGATACATACTCGTCCACTGCACGACGGGAGGCCAGTGAATGTTCTTTAGTGTTCCACAAGTAAGCCGAAACGCACACACACAAACACAAATTCACACCATCCATCCATCCATCAATCAATCAGAATGTCAATCACTGCTCCATGTTTCACTCACGTTATGTATTGCAGTGTGATGTCCACTCATCTACTAATTAGTGACTGACTCAATCTCCTCGCACCTCATCAACACACTGAACATATGACTGACTGACTGACTGATGAATTCTTCGCCTTTTCTGTGTTTAGAGTGACAAGGATATGATTTTTCAAGTATACAAATCTGATGAATGGAAGAAGAGTGTTGAGGAGATCACAAGAGCGGGATTCAAAGTTCTCATATCGTCGTGTTGGAATTTCAGTGATGTGAGTCTCGGAGACGACTGGCGAGCGTTCTACGAGTGTGATCCCTTGGATTTCGAAGGTAACTCCGAGTATTTTCAAACTTGACGTTTCCAATGATATCAATGCTAACCAATGCACACAGGGAAATCTTTGTCAAATCGTTGTCACCAGTTGCATAAGCGTCTCAAGTATCCAGTCCTCATTGTAGATGTTACATCTACACATTCCATCCACTTCGTATAATTCATCATCCAGTTTCATTCAGCTCAGCTGAGTGAGAACTAGATCGATTAGAATGTTCACTGTTCACTTGAGGTGCATCTTGTAGAATACTGTCGAACTACTACTCCAAATTAGATAACACAGCAACACAACACGAAAGAGATAGACATTTCTCAGTTGCACATGTCGTCAGTAAGACAACCGACAAGTTCAGTGACGTATATCAAACAGTGAATATCCATGCATCATTGAGAATCGCACATAATAATAGTAGTAATCTATATGCGTTGTGTGCACTAATTAGCCGTAAACGAAATTAGGCGACATCATTACAACCGACTGACAGTCCTCTCACTCATCTACACTCTCATTCATCAGTTCTAACCAAAACTGTTGGTCGAAACAGAATGACGATTCTCCATCTGAGACAAAATTCCACATGGATATCCACTCCGTTCAGCGTAGAACACACAACAGTCATGAAGACTAACATGCAATAACCAGATGAGTTCATTTCCTCAGATTTACACTGCTAATTGATTTCCATGTGTATCGCATATTTCAGGAAGTCAAGCGGAACTGGCACTGGTCATTGGAGGAGAAGGTGTGATTCCAGGTGACTACGTGGATGACTCAAATCTCATGTTGGTGTCATGGTAAGAGATGATGGTTTTTCGAATTCGATTCATCATGTTTAAGCTTCATCACTCATATGACAACAGGTGGGAGACACATCGTCTTCGAATTCGTTGAGAGAATTAGTATGAGATTGAGGTCATTGACACCACTGGACAATATTAGCCTCTACAATCAATCACATATCCGCCTCACTCACACATCATAAGCTTCCGAGGAGCCACAGTCATCATTTTACGCATAAAAGCATTCATGTGGAATTGATGAGGGCTGAGTTTGCATATTTTCAGAAGACAAATCAGCATGCAACAATGACTCGCATCCACAAATACAGCTTTGAAGTTGACGTAAAATATTTATCTCTTTGAACAGCGAGTGATGACAAGATAGATGTTCAAGGTATTTACGCAGTTTCAAACACTTCAACGCATAAGGTTCCTGTCGGTACATCAGATATATTTCCTCTGAGACGTCAATACACCATAACTCCACCTCCTATAATCCACTCAATATTTCACCAATAGTGTATGCGTACATCTCACAACTCATCTCATATCTTTTCATACATTCTCCAACACAGGCCTCAAGCCGCTGCAATAGCTGAAAAACTCTGGTCCCAAGAGAGAACGAGCACAGACGATTTCGGTGACCGCCTGAGTGAACTTCGTTGTCGAATGAGAAGGTGAGTTTCACCGCAGCACAGCACAGCACAGCACACCACACCACACCACACCACACCACACCACACCACACCACACCACACCACACCACACCACACCACACCACACCACACCACACCACACCACACCACACCACACCACACCACAATGCACTGCACTGTATTCTACTACTATTTACCCTCATTTCTTACTGTTCCACTTTGTCTGAGTGACGTAGTGTGATGTGACGCGACATCCCTTTTAACAGAAAAGCATAACAATGTAATTTGTTCCCCGAACTGACATCGAAAGAGTCACAAGACATGTTGGAATAGGTGAGGAATACTTCAGAGTGGCGAGCGGACCAATGCGCGAACTGACTCGTGTTTGTGCGTGAGGCACCAGTATTAGTAGTTGGTATGTGTACTGACATTTTGAAGAATAATTGAAATACGATTATCAGCCAGAGAATGCGAAGAGAAGGGAAGAGAAGAGAAGATGAGATGGAAGGATTGTGTATTTGTGTGTGTGTGTGTGTCTGATTGAGCGTCGGAGTGACTGTTGAATTTGGATGTAGGAAAACCAGCTGTGATGCATGTAAACTGTAAATTAACTGAAATTCACTGCAAAATGTCACATCAATCTACACTAATTTCACCACTGATTCTATACCTATGTGTCTGTGAATCCTCTACACCAATTTGACTTCATTTTATCACAATTTTCTTCTACTTCTTCATCTCAACAGACTAAATTGGGATGTTCAACCAGTGAATGGACCAGGATTCTGCTCAATTTGATTCACCACACACACCGAAGTGTCTTCTCCCACTTCGCACACACTCACAGACACACACACAAAGACAGTATTTTCCATGAGAGTTCAATAGACAGAATGACGCTTGATATGTGCAGCCAGTGTGTGTGTGTGTGTGTCAGAGTGTCGACACATCCAATTATTCTTCTCCCTCTCCTTCCATTTTCCATCCTCTTCGACAGCTTCACACTAATTTTCACAAATATACACTCACATGAATCGAATGACTTCTACCTTCCGTTAAGTTCAGTTTAAGTGTTGCAATCCACGAGGCTGGTCAGTCATTGTAGTCATCGTAGTGCTGGTGATAACGATGACGGTGTCGGTGTCGGAATGTTGAAATGTGTCTAGAACAACACATGTCAGCGAACAATACTGATTTCAATTAGATCTTATCAGTCATTCTCCTTATATACAAGTGAATATTTAATATCAACACCAATAATGGTGATTTGTCAGTAGAATGATAGGACTGTGCATATGAAGCGTACATCAATCCTTTATGAGAAAAGCAACAATAATTGTATCATTTACAAGGATGAAGTAATAAGGAGAGTGAAAAACGGCATGGTTTTTTGTAACAAACAAATGCTAAGACAGACAAGGTAGATAATTGCTAAGGAAACAGATAATAATAATAATAATAATAATCGGATTAAGGGAAGTCAGAAAACAAAACTACGTTCCATTGAATACGTCATAAGGTTAAGGAAAGAGAGGGACTGAACTATATGACGGTTGGTGGTTGTCTGATCAGTTGGTTGTGTCTTCACACGCCAAGGGAAGGCTGTCAGCTGCATGATTAATTCAATGTAGTTTATTTTCTCATCAGTCTTATATCTCCCAATGTAATTCAAGTAGCATATATATATATGTATATATATATATATCCATGTATATATATATATATATATATATCCGTGTATGTAGAGTGTTCAGCTGAGGAAGAGTTCTACCGAAATTTGATGAATTCATCATTAAATCCTGCTTTATTAACAACCTTTTTTGCTTGTTTTAAATTCGTATCGGGAAATAAATGTTTCCAATTATAGAAGAAATTATTTTCATAAAATCTCACAATGTTACAGAGTGTGTAATAACACTGTGAAACTATCAAAGTAAAGTTACTTTTTGATGGAATCCTAAATCATATAAATCGTAACCTATGAGATGGTGGAAAATGTCTAAGAGTTTATTCTGCCTTTCAAGTAATATGAAAGAATAGAGGACGGTACTTTTAATCTAACAATCAGCTTAAGTTTTATCAACCATTTGAAGTATCTAATTACAAAAACAAAACAAAAAAAAAAATAACCATCTTGACATCTTTTTAGAGATAATTACAGTATACTTTATAACTAAATAAATAAGCAAAGTTCAACGATTTGTTACTTGACAAGTGTGGAGTTGGACTTTTTCATTCGACTATCTGAGATCGCCTTACATTGATTGATCAAAATTCATTTTTCGACTGAGACAATTTTTAATGTGTACTTTGTTATTCTTAATTACAGTGATTATTTATGACTGAAGAAATGCAAAAGCCATTATTATTATTACTATTATTATTATTATTGCGATGTGTACCACTTTTTAATAGGCATAATTAGTATTTCTAGCAGCTGGTGGAAAAAAGATTCAAGAAGAATTCGACAACACTGAGAAGAAGCCAGTAGAAAACTGGATAAGCAAGATATTAAAATTACTGGAGAATTATGTATGAAAGCTTCAAGCACTGATTTGTAGGGATTTTGTTTGATTGGTTGGAAGATTTCATCATGAGCTGATATCGGTTAGAGAAACATTGGAAAACCAGCTGGGAGTAATGGACAGCTGTTACGTTCTAGTTTGTGGCTCTCGACTAGTGCGCGAGCTCTCCTTGTAAATAGAAGGCCCTGGATTCGAACCTCGTTGGATGCGTACTCCTGAAGAGTCCCAAGCTGGGATGACGAAACAGCTGTCCAGTACTCCCAGCTGGTTTTCCAATGGTCATGATAAAATCCTCCGACCAATTGTGAAATCAACTTAAAAATTCCCATTGAGTCATATGAAAGAGAAGACGTTCAGAGAAGGTTTACTCTTTTCGGCGATGTCATTCTCAAGCTGTACAATCGCATAAGTATAGTTAATTTTCTTAGCAACAAAGTGAATATTTCCAAAGATCTGCCATTAGAATCGTAAGTTTTAGATAAAAAAATTACGTAACTTAAAAAGAGTTAATGAGTTAGAAACTAAAATAAGATTAAATAAGCAAGTTGAGTGACGTAATGTAAATGAGTAAAGTGATGTGAGTAATGGAGAATGATGCTCAGGAAGGCTTCGTGTGCTTTTGGAAGTGCGTGGGTGGTTGTTACTTCCAAGCTGCCCACACCGTGGAAGTTGATTGATTCTTCGGGTACCTGAAACAGAAAGAGGGTTAGTGTTGCGTGACCGCAGAGCTCAGGGGACAACTGCTTGAGGCCGGTCACACAAGGCCTGTATCAACTGGTTTCTGGGATTGGTTCCGTATTAGTAAACTTACCGCCGGTTACGGACCACCGTAGGGTAAGTCGGGATGTACAATTTTTGGGGTCGACCTTTTCTAAACCCCTCTCTCCGGAGTGGAGAGACAGCATAGCTGGCTGGCATGCTGGTCATCTGAGGGAAAGACCTTACTGCTGTTACATCCCTGTGCCCCAGCAGTACGACTTCGCCCTCACACCCCCAGCATAGTGTAGGAAAGATTCTTACACAATGCTGGTAACTGCTTTTAGTCTAATCGCTATCCTTCCTGGCATGGTAGGACCTGCAGGAACATTGGTTCCAGCCAGTGTAGCTTGTTGGGTCATCGCAATGTTCAAACCCGACCACCACGTCCAAATAGCTGCTACCGGTCGAGAATGTGAATGAAGGCGTTGAGTAGAGTTCAACTAAAATCAAAACTGAACAAATGTCAAGTTAACAGCACTGGTAATAAGGGGTAGAGATATAATAAGGCGTGGGGTGGGGTGGGGGAAACAAACAAGCAAGAACAAGACGAAACAAAAATTACGTATTTGGTGTAAAGATAAGTCAAGTCCACTGTAGATTTTATGACTGAACAAACTTCTTCTGTATTCAGAGTGCAGGATTTAACATGTGAATCATCATTGCTTATTACACTGTTTGAAGAAGTTTGATTCGCACCCTTTTAGTAAGATTTCCACGTATTCTGCATATGACTTCGAAGTTAACTCCATTAGAAGTAAAATATATTTTGATAAAGTCTCACAGTGTTTTTTATACAGCAATATTTACTGATGAAATTTCGAGCACAATTTATTGCCACTCATAATCATATCAAGGCACTCACTCACATAACTTTCTAACTTCGTTTATATAATTCCATTATTTTCCATCACTTGATTTGATTGATAGTAGTATTCTCCATATTTCGGGTATGAGTGATGAGTCATTCCTATTAAATGTGTTGGGTGTAGACTCGATGAACCAGACAGGATTCAGTAATCAACCTCTCTCTATCTCCACCTACCTAGATTACATTTTAGAATCTTAACCTCTCCCACCCTATTGTGTGGTTGTGTGTTAATGCATGCATTGCTTTTGCCGAGCTATTTTCTAAATTACTTATCTTCTTGGGGTCAACCATTCTTACCTCAGCTAAATTCTTATGTTCCGACAATCTGAATACTCCTGATCTACTAGTTTGACCTATGTAGTTCACCTAACTAACTCACAGTCATTGCAGGGTAATTTGTAAATAGTATCATTTTATCTATTTGAGTCAACTGACAGGGTCCTTTATCCTACAGATCTTGTCCTACCTGAGTGAGTTTGTAGTTTCAAATGCCAACCTAATTCCTGCTAGAGAGAATCAGCTAGATAATCAGCATTAAGAAAATCAGTGGTTATATAACTGATGTTAACTTGTCACGCGTCAAGTCTCTGAATACTGGCTGGCACTCGGTAATATATACATATGTGTTTCTTATGATTACCATGTACCAAAAGGAATCGACCGATTTGATCCTAAGCTTACATTACAATCAACTATCTGGTGACAATGTCACCAAGTCAGCCACACAAATCAAAATATTCAACAGACTAATGGAAAAAAGAACACAATAAATGAAGTCGACGCCAACGTCTCATCGTCGATTGACAGGACAAAATGGGTGATCATCCTCTCATCAAGGGAACTAAGCTCTAGTAAGTGAGATAAAAGCACTTGAGAAAGGACTAAATTTCAACCTAACGATCGTCTCCATGTCAGACTTGGATGTTGGTTTCCACTTTGTTACCATTTGACTTGTGGTGGCATGGTCACCTAAGCGCCTAGCCAATCTGTCTAGATTTCCTCATGCATACCTGTTGGTTTCTTCTAAACCAAAGTTAATCATTGTTAATCTTTTCTGGCCATCTCATCTGGACTTGTTTCAATGTGTTTGTTCACCTTATTATTATTATAATCCAATCTGCACATAACTTCTGTTGGATTATTATTCTGTTGTTTGATATGGCAATTACAATGTTCTTGTCATTCTTCAAACACTTAACTTTTCCTGTTGCTACAGGATTTTTATTGGTTATTTCAGTGTACATTATTACTGACTGACTGACTGGTTTCAATATAGAACTATAAACAGATATGCAGTAGTTCGAGTTTTCACACTCCATGTACCACAGAAATCACGGGAAGAGAGTAAACAGAGATTCAAAAGACACATGGTAAACAGAGGTGTGAGGGAAACTAATGGTAATATGAAAGAACAACTGAGTTTTATTGGACATGACAAATCACAAAAAGTGAATGCATCTGCGCCAGCCGCTGACAGTGAGGATTTCGAACCATATCACCCATTGTCTCCGGTTTTCATTGGTTCTTATCATCCCGAGGACCCTAACCAATCAAGAAGCCTGCTCTCCCCTACGTGGCTTGCTCAAACTGTCTGCCAAAGACTACATGGACTGATGTCGTGTTTTGACTTGACCATCACCAACTCTTTTTCAACCGGTTTTGATGTCAGCTAGCATCGCCTATTGTCGAGGGAGGCGATGGTTAGGCTAGCATGCGAAACAAGTGTCCTAACCATCTCGGTCGATGTAATTTAAAAACCTTGTTATTGATTTTCCCTCTTTACCTGCCACTCGTTGCCTAACAACCTCTATGTTACTCACCCTACTATGCCACCTAACACTGAAGATAGACTGACACTGACACCTTTGA